AAGCAGGGAAGTGATATTCAGTCGAATGTCAGCAGCAACAGCAATGATGCATATGCAGCAAAAGCATCAGCTTGGTGCCATGTTACGTATCATCCTCATTACTTCGGTTGCTACAATGAGGGAATGGCAAGGGAGCATTTCCTCAGCTTTCCATGGTGTGTCTTTGACAAGCTCATCCAGATCAAGAGGGATAAAAGAAGTCTCTAAACTTCTTTACATATGTTATCACTGGCGTGCCATTCGACTTGAGAAAGTAAGCATCAGGTGTTTGTTTGGAAATTTGAAAGATACTCTTAGCTGTTGTGTTTTCCCTCATAAACTTAAGTGTGTTATGAATGTGGTTATGTTTTCTGTAAGCAACTATAGTACGTAAATAATAAATATGGGTGTGATTACTTTTTTAGAGTGATGTGTAACTGCTGCAGATCATTTAGAATGTGTTTCTCTCATTCATTCAAGGCATAAGGCATTCCTCTGCCATCCCAGAGGGATAAGCAAGCTGCCATGCATTTTGTTTTTCTTGCTTCCAAGTAAATTAAAGAACACACATTAGAATTTTAAGTTTTATAACAATCTTTTTGGTGCTGGAACAATTTAAGTTTCAATGAAGGTTTGGTTAAGTTTTTTAATGAAAACAACCTGTATTTGCTCCCACTAGACTTTGTGAGAATTAAGTACATTTCCATGACAGGCCACTCTTAGCAACAATCAAAGAAAAAGAAGTAGGCATTTCTTGCAAACAACTCCAAAGAGGAACAAATAAATAACATGTGTATATCAGCACAAACGTGTGATTAAAGAGACTGTTGATACCTAGTTTAGTCATGGCATTTTCAGCTGCTAGTGCATAGACACAGCTTCTCAGTTTTCCTCCGCTAAAACTACGTCATTGTTAGTTGAGAGTGTACTGCCACATGTATACGATAATATGAGCTCCTGTCAGGCAGGCATATAGTCATACAGTATAGCTTCAAGTCAATGGTGAAATTTATTTTGCTCAATAAAGTCAAGGTTTTAAGGCATACAACCGATACACATGGTAGCAAGGGAGCATTTCTTGTTCCATTTATAACTGGACTGAAGCATGAATGCCAAAAAGTTCCAACAGTGAGACACTAAACAGTGGAATCTAGTGTCAAACATCTACACACGTTGAGGAAAAAAGACACGACACTGAATTGAAGTCACATTTATTCCTAAATGTAGAGAGACAAAGATTTGAAACAAGATACTGAAACCAAATTCAGCACAAATGGATCAGTGGCGCTTCTTCCCTGTTGCTAGTTCCCAAGCCTGTAATATGTGGTTCACGATTTCCTCTACTCCATGACCATGCTTCACCTGCACAGGGTAGTTCACTGGCATATAACTCATGAACGTGAAAATTTCAAGAACAGACCTACAAAGACAAATCATGAAGAATTGCCTTTCTGGTACAGTTTGAAACTCAACATTCCTAACATGATGGATTGGGGAGTAGGGACAGGGTCACAGTGTCTCATTTGTGACAAGAAATGAGCAAATACAGCTTGTATCACATTTCACGTTGAGCAAATTTTACGTTAACACAATAATTTACTGTAATAGTACTACTCCAAATATGAAAGTACAAATATCAAGTTCCCATCATGTTCACAATGTTTCAACCAAAATCATGTTCACAATGTAAAAATGCTAGTGATTGAATTAATGGTATAACCAACCAACCTGAGCAAAGACAAATGGCCCTCCGTCTCGCATTCGAAGTGCATCACGTTCCATTA